TGGGTTTTACATCTCTAATACAACTCTTTAACAATATAAATAGGTAGGTTGTGCTAATGTTCTTCCACTTCCGATCTTCTTCTTCCCTGTAAACCACTCCAAAAGCTTCTTAGCGTTAACCATGCCTGGCCAGTTTATTCTTTGCTCTGAAATCCATCCTCAGCAGACTTCCAAAGCAATGTGTTTGCGTCTGGTGCGTACCTATTTGGTATTTGAAGGAACAGATGAGAAAGTCATTAGAAGTCGTGAATGTGTGTTTCATGATTCGACAGTAAGTAATTTTTTTTTCCTTTTGTTCAAAGCAATAATATTTTTAGTAGTTGCTGTTAGTTTCTAATGTTCTTCCCTTTCTTGAGATTTCTCTACATTCTCCAATTAAAAAACTTGTTAGTTATAAAAGCATTCATATTTGGCAGTAATGTTAATCCTCTATTTGAAATACAATACATTCACAAAGGGAGTCAACTTCTTACCTTATTACTTTGCCCCTTTCATTTTTTAGCTGGCTATTTGTCCTCTGGATTCCAGTGTTCTTCATATACATGTAACTTATATGAAAATAAAAAGAACATGTTGTTAATTTCTTTATTAGAATGAAGATAGCAAGTATAGCTTATATTTGGAGTTACAGTCTAAGTTTTATAAAATACCAAAGAATACAGTTCTTGCCTGCCAGCCTACCAGTCTCAACAGATCCTTTTCCCCCTTCCTTTTTCTTGGCCTGCTAATGCCCTTGATAGTCCAGTGTTCTTCACTTAGACGTGTGTCATACAAAAAAAAAAAAAAATTGACACAAGTTAGTTATTGTCTAAGTTTTACAAAATACCACCGCAAAGAATACAGTTGTTACCTGCCAGCCTAGAGATCTGAATGTTCATTTTTTCACTTCGTTTTCTTGGCATGTTAATCCCCTTGATATTTCAATGCTCTTCATTTAGATGTGTCTCATACAATCAAAAAAATGACATCAATTTTATTATAAAAACTACAGTGTGAATGTAAGATTTGATTGAATTATTCTAAGGTTTGGATGTAATAGTTGATAGGTGGTAGTTGAATTGTTCACATGAGAATCCAGGTAAATTGATGTCTTCCATTCTCTAATATTAATGGCTTTCTCTCTCAAATAGTCCATTTTAATAAGGTTAATGCATAAAACACATAAGGAACATAAGGGTGTATATGGTCAACATCTCCACCACAGAAAATGTAATTTGCCTAATTGCAAAATCTGCCTTTCTTTTTTATAATCTCTTTGGCTTCATGTGTGGATTGATTGTGATCTACCAAAAACAAAGTGGAAGGCAATATTACAGATTCTCATATGTGAGTCCAAATAGACTATCCATATGCCAAGAAGATATATCACACTAATATGGTGTTACTCTTTACTTAGATAAAACCAGCAAATGGTATCTTTACATGGTGTTATCTTAGAAACAATAAACTGAGTTTGAGAATAAGATATCACTGAAACACTATGTTTCTATTTGCAGTTAGCTAATCAAGCTTCACATAATTATAAATCTCTTTTTGGAGCCAATTAACATATACAGGTTGAGAGGGATATCAATAAAACATGCACATCTTGACTAATGTGCTCTATGAATCTGAAATCAATGGACATAAAACTTGCTCTAACTTAAAAATTTGGAAAAATGGTTTTCAATGGTTGCAACCCCTAAGCTGTTTTGTAGTATGGTTACAAAATGCACATCTCTTAATATCGATTATTTGTTTGGGGAAAAAAAAAAGAATGCTTGACAAAAGGAGACTAGCACTTCTTCCTCTTATGATGTGCAGCTATTTTGTGTTCAACCCCCATTGTCCTGGAATATGATAAGCAAATCAAAACTGCACAAGTGTAGGAGTTTAGTGTTTTGAAGAAGCAACTAAGTGTGAATATTCCCAGTAAAATATGGGAGGAATTAGTAAATTGGTTAAAAATCAAGAAAAATGTTTGACTTGAAGTTCATTCATGCTCTAGGCAAATCATAGTTTCTTAGTATTAGACTGTATTGTCATCTAGAACTTAGAAGCGCAAGTTTCCATAATCACCTTTGAATATTAGAGTAAAAAATATATATATAGTTATACAAAATTATTAGAATTAGTCTAGATACACAAAAGATCACATTGGAAATCAACACCCTAAACACACACATTTCACAGAGAACAAATGATTAGAAAAATCAGTCTTGTATAAAAAAGAACCAATCAAAAAACAAACAAATCAGAAAAATTCAAAACCCAAAAAATATTAAAAAAACCTAGATATCCTTCCATAAAATAAGAAAAAATAAATAAAAGCCTAAATTCCCCCAAATAAATGTAATGTTTTCTTATATACTCTTCAATATGAATTTGGTCTTAACATATGACTTCTATCTATTGGTGATAGAAAGAGATTAGTAACATCATTGAAGTCTACAAATACACTTTTTCCTACAAATCTCTAACACCTAACAATCCAAACCCATATCAAATCAGTGTATTTATCATATAACCAAATGGTTAAAGTAGACTGAGATTGAAGTACTATCTCTATAAAATTTATACTACCAATAAGATAGGTCATGATTTTTGCTTCCAGCCTATGAAATAGTAATCATTGTATTGCTATTATCAATGCTTTGTAGGTGTTATAAATTGGTATCTTTCACATGTGTGAATGAACCATATTCATTTCCAATTTCAAATTTCAAATGTAGCTAACAAGTTATAGATTAAAGTCAAATGAAGAACATAGAGAATTCTACAATAATCACTAGCAAGAGAAAACATGAGCATGGAAATAAAGTTATAATCTCATTTCTACAATTATATATATTTTTTAATTCTATATTTAAGTCACTCTCATAGTATTTGTAATATAATACTAAAAATAATGTATGTGTAGAAGTAAATTATCGTTTGCATTTAAAAAAAAAAATTTATAGCATGCAAATTGATATTAAACAAATAATGGATGTTGTTAAAAAATTATGGAACAAATTCATGGAATTATTAAATATTCTGAGAGTGAACCTAGACACTAGAAAAATTTAAAAAATTAGAACTATATTTCTATGAAGTAATAATAGAAGCAATTATTCAATTAAATTTGAAGATAAATATACATGCATGCCCTAAAAACCATCAAATTCGAAAAACCTAAACATCATATACAAATTATAGCTGCTGATGTTACATATTTTCGCTAAATACACAGGAAAATGCGAGTCAGATACTTATCTTTGTTGGTTTGTTGCTTTCTCTTCCAATTTGTGTTGTGCTGCATAATCTTGGAGTGTTTTTGCAGATAGTTTTACTGTGTTTTTATCTACACTTTGTATTGAGAAAAAAAAAATTAGGGTTTGTGTGAAGATAGGTACAAAAAGATGCGTAGATTGAAGAATGAAATAAAAATTACGGTAGGTTCTTTCTTTCGCCGCCGTTGATAATCTTCTTTCTCCGGTAAACTGTGTGGTAGTAGAGTTTGGATCTGCTGTGTTTTTGGTTTGAGAGATAGAAATGACGGAATTGCGACAATATTTGCACTATTTTGGGCCTGTTAGAGCTTCGATTGTAGGTTGTTGTTAGTGATTTGGCACGATTTCCATTTCCGGTGAGCTTAGCTGTTCAGGCGGAGTGACGAGGAATGTACGGGAAAAGGGGAGGGGAATTTGGTTTCTAATTTGAGGGGGTTTGGTTATATCTGTGTATGGTTTGGGTCGGGTATGAGCTGCTGGGTTGGGTTAGAATACTGGGCCGTAAATATATTTATATATACGGATAGGTTAGTTGGGCTATTTGGGCTGGTTTAGTTTATATATATATATATTGTTTTTAGTATATGTTATGTTTTATAAGATTTGGATATGGAAATGTTATTAGCGAATATTATATTTTTAGTTTTATTTTTGGAAATAATTTGTTGAGATATTATTGTTATTAATTTGTAATAATTAGTAATTATTTTGTTTTGTAATTTATTTTTATTTGTGCAGCTTATTTATTATTTTTTTGAAATGAATTTTAATATAAAAGTTGTTTTGTAATTTTTAAAAATTTATTTCATGTATTAGGCAGTTTTTTTTTTAGTTCGCTGAAGTATTAAATTAATATTTTGTAAAATTTTAAATTAAATTTTGGTGAGTATATGGTTATTAATCAATACTAAAGTATATTTTTGAATGAAAAATCAATATTTTTTTTATAAAAAATAATACAGAATTGATAATGTTATAAATCATCTTATATTTTTTTGATATGTGTTTTTGTTCATTTTTTTGGTTTGTTTTGATTTTTTTTAAATTTATTTCATTTTTTTGGATGTAAACCACACATTGTGATCCGGGTCCTTCTCTGCCCGTCTAACGGTCCAGGTCCACCCAGTTCGCTCCGGGAGGCACAGAAGCTGGCCCAAAGGGAATCATCACTTGTGGGAATCGCACCCGAGTTATCCCAAAATTCTCCCCCACAAAGAGAGCCCATTTGCCACTTGAGCTACCCTGTTGGGTTAATTTATTTCATGTATTAGGGGTTTTTTTTTTTTTTTTTTTTAATTCGTTGAAGTATTGAATTAATTTTTGTAAAATTTTAAATTATATTTAGATAAATATATGGTCACTAATCAATAATAAAGTATAGTTTTGAAAATCTAAATTCTGATATTTGGTTTTTATAAAATAAATACAAATTTGAAAATGTTATAAATCATCTTAAGAAACCAATGCGATGCATGGATAAAAGATTTTTAAACTACAAATGTTGTATATAAAAGAAGTATTTAATAATTTTTAAACTATTTTGATAAACGTTAGTTTTATTTTATTATAGTTAAAGTGTATATGTCCAATTGTATTTTGTATTTTATAATTACATCTCTGTCTATAATACACTATTGATAGATAATTGTTCTCATCATATTATTATACCGTGCATCGCACGGGTTTAAATACTAGTTCAATAAAATGAGGGAATTGCAATTCCCTCCAACCAAACATTGTAATTTCCATTGTCATTGAATAAGGTAGGAAAAGAATTACAATTACATCCAACCAAACACCCCATTAGAGAGTGTTTTCAATATCAAAATCCACATACCTCCCTACCAATTACCATCTATGTCTGCTATTTATCTAAAATCTAGACTTCTAACAACCTCTAACAAGCAAAACAGAAGCACAGTAAAATATCTAAGTTGAAATGGCATTGTTTGGATCTCAGCCCAACAACTCTCAATTGCAGTAAAACGGCACCGTTCTCTTCTTCCACCTCTTTGTTTTTTACTTCAATTTCCTCGGGGTGTTACAGTGTAAGACGGCCTCCCGGAACCGCGTCGTGAAGAATTGGGAGTTGTACGTGCCGTTGCCGACGCCGTGGATGAAGATGTCGGGGCGGATTTGCTTGATTAAACCTAGGATGATGTCGCACGGGCTGTCGAAAACCTAGGACGATGTCGCTCCGGGCGCCTCCACTCTCTCCGCCGGCTTGAACCCCGGCTGGGGAGATCGATTCCGGTGATCCGGAGCTTCCTGGGTTCTTACGAGTTGCATAGGATAAGTTCGTTCAACTTCTCTAATGGCGACTCTATTTCGTCATTGTAAATTGCCAACTGCTTTTCTGCAGATTCATCTTCTATGTTCAAGTAGTGATTTCTCTTTCCCTTTGGCGGTGAAAGACCTGTAGGAGAATAAATGGATAAAATCAATTAAAATTAAACTAACTAATTTCTCAAACAAAACCATCTATCTCTCGCTCTCTGACCTTCCAACTCAAAATTGATGGTGTTACTGTCAAGTAGAACGAGATTAGCAGCCGGAAAATCTCCATAGCTTCCGGCAGAAACCGACCTAGATTGGGTCTTAGGTGGACTCAACAGACAATCTGAAGAGCCGCCATAGTCGTTGAGACATCCGATTTTGCCCTTTTAAAGTTAAATTGACCATTTTGCCCCTATTTATATTTAATTTAAAATGGGATCCCTTTTTCTGGCAAAATTTTGCCGGTGATTTGTCTGGCAGGACCAAATGTGCTAAACATTACTAAATTGTTAGTTTTTAAAGTCAAATCTTGAAATTAACAAAATTCTTATAGTCACATGACCAAAAGTGTAACTTCTAAACACACTCTATTTCTTAAACTTTATTCTTTTAATATATTTAGTGTTTATATTCACCTATATCGTTGTTTAATTATTTTATTGGATTATAAACAATTCCTTCTAAGATTGTGCTACTATTTGACTATTTGTGCCTTTACTAGACTGTATTAAAATTGTCCAACAGTTGTAGTCAGTAAATCAGTCAAGTCTTCCTGTGAAAGACCGAAGATTTGAAAAATTCAATATTGGGCAAAAGGGTCTTCTCTGGATCACATAAGGAAACCTTCTGACCAATTTAATTTGAGGTCTGGGATTCTATGAGCCCATGGTTTTTAAAGAATGAATGGACTGCTTTATCTGGGGTTTCAAAATTCACGTACCGAGCTTTGAGAGCTTTTTCTTTAGCAAGCCCAAATTCATTTATAAAAGTAAGAGCACACAAATGAAGTTTTTCTTTTTCTTTTCTTTTGTAGAACTGGATTCAGTAGTAGTTATTCAATCCTTATATCATGGACCGGGGGTTCATAGTGCACTGTGGACGTGATGCATGTGTATGTGTCATATGTTGTGAGTTTTTGCGTCTTGTGTTATGAAATTATGTACCTTAAAAGTATGAATTCAGTATCTGAAACAAATTAGTAATTGTGTTATGTTATGAATTTGTTTATCTTGTGTTGTGAAATTCTATATACCTAAATCAAATTTGGAAAATAAATAAGTATATAAGATGTGTATGTGTCTTGTGTTGTGATTTTTTGTGTCTTGTGTTATGAAATTTTGTACCTTACGAGTATGAATTTTGTACATCGTCATTTCGATTCATGGTTCATAATACTATATGGACCCTGGTTCATGATATAAATCGCCATAGTTATTCAATCGTTATGCTGTGCATCCATGTATGGTGCACACAGATGCAAAAACGACGTCGTTTTGACTAAAAACGCGCGTCCCACTTAAAAAAAAAAAAATCAGTTTCGATTCCCCTCAACAGCATTATGTTGTTCATTCATTCTGGATTTTTAGTTCATAGATTCTGGATTTTTTTGGAACAAAAGGAGGGACAAAACCCGGAAAGGATTTTTAGTTCATTGATTCTGGATATTTAGACGGAAATCGAAACTGATTTTTTTTTTCATTCATGCTGGATATTTAGTTCATTCATTATGGATATTTAGTTCATTCATTCTGTATTTTTAGTTCATTGATTCTAGATTTTTAGTTCATTGATTCTGGATATATAGTTCAAATTATGGACAACATAATGTTATTGCCGGGAATCGAAACTGATTTTTTTTTTTTTTTTTTAAAGTGGGACGCACGACAACCCAGAATGCACAACATAATTTGCATGGTGCACACAGATGCACAACATAATTTGCTATTGGTCTAAGCCATTTATACGATTCCTCATCTAGATCATCTTCAACTTGCTATTTTGAGCCCAACCCAGTTCATAAGGAGTAATGTTACGAGTCATTTGGCTCTATTACATTGTAGTATCTGTTCATATACTTTCTCAACCTACTGAAACACAGAGAGCTAATAATGCCTCCACTGAGGCTCGAACTTACAACCTTCCAAATGGAAGTCCAACCCGGATACCATTAGACCACATAGTCCTGGTGGAATTATTACAATTCTATTCTCATATAATTCACATAATTCTGAAGGCAAGTAAATTTCTTCGTTTGGTTGAAAAAAATTGCAATTTTACGGAATTAAAATTTTCTCATTTTCATGGAATTAGAATCCCATGCCTCCCTTGGTATTTTAGTTCTATGGATTTTATGAAGAAAAATATAATTTTGAGACAAAATTACCTCTCTTTTTTAACCTAAAATTGATGTTTGACCTAAAATTTTGAATTTGGTCATTTAGGATTTTTTAATAATAATAATAATAATAATAATAATAATAATAATAATAATAATAATAATAATAATAATAAGAAGAAGAAGAAGAAGAAGAAGTAAATTTTCACTAATTTTGTTCCTGCAAACCAAACACTGAAATTTAAATTACCACTTTATTCTTACATTATTCATCTCCCATGGAATTGCAATTACTTTCCCACCTAATTCCCTCCCTCCAACCAAACGCCCTGTTAGTGCTACTTCTTTGAGGATGAAGAAATTAATTATATTAAATGCTCTGTATTTTTTAATAATACTTAGGCAATCTCACTCCAGAGGTAAATTGCGAGTCACGTAATCAACCTACCAGTTACTTAGTCATAACATTGTTACCTTCAATTGTAACATCAAGTTCTTTAGTTGTAACATCAAGTAGTTATTTATAATCTTAATAATCCATCAAAATAATTTTTTTTTTAGCTCAGAAATAGAATTTTTGGTCAGGTCATATGGTGTCTTGATGAGCAGACCCTAACTGTAGAAGGTATATTTAAGCTCGTATCATACTCAGACTAATCTCTCTTCACACCGGATCGGCCCAATTATGGAGAATTCATTCCCCGAATTGCTTAAGCATAAATTGATTTATTCACTTATTTGGGAATTTGAGGTAGTTCCTAAAATGATTTATCCGGTGGAATATTTTCAAATTTCAATATTTGTTAAATCGCAATAATAGATAATAGATTACATAACACTAGTTGGGAGAGGAGGGGTGTTGTGTAATTTTATCAACCTACTAGATGAGGTAAAAGGTTGAGATTCATTATGATCATGAGCAAGAACTATGTCCTCCCACTAATTGAGTTATCCTTAAAAAACTTGAAATTTCTTGACTCCATAATACTAGTAGTATGAGATGGAAAATAAAATTTGTACTCTTTAAAGAATTGTGCATACCAACAAAGAAACCACTAATAGTATTCGAGTCTAACTTCTTTTCTGATGGGTTATATATAATTACCCCAGATGGAATATAAATGTTACAAATTTGGGTTCCAATATTTGAATAACTCAATTGTTTCTTTAGGACAATCTGTTGGAAAAATAGCATTAAAATGACATTTTAAGTGACTATTTTGTGGTACAATTATCAGTTGATTCACTTTCGATTTGGGTCGGGTCAAAGTGGATTCGGATTCTTCGTAGTGAAACGAAGAGATTGATATATTGTACGCTCAAAACGGATAATGAGTGAATGTGATATTGATTATCAAAGTAGACCTATTGAGTTGGAAAAATGAAGGAAAAAAGTGAGATTTTGTCCCATATTGGTTTGGGAAGAGAATTTGCCCCACCATTTATACAAGAGTTTTTTAAAAGCTTATTGAATGTATAGCATAGAGGCTCTCTCGTGCGCGCAGGGGGTGCAAATCAAATCCCAAATTATGTGGTTAATCTTTAGGCGTTGCTGGGGGTTCTACCCGTGCTCTAAGAAAAATCCTTTGTCTTTTTGGTTGGATTGAAATTATAATATGTATATATAACCGTTGGATCCGTTATATATATATATATATATATATATATATATATATATATATATATATATATATATATATATATATATATATATATATTTGTGTGTATATATATATGTCATATATATATCCAATAAAATTTTATATATTTTCGTGTTTATATATAAATATTATTTTGGGATATTAAATCGATTTTTGGTTCATTATTTCCAACACAATCTTGGTTGGGATGCGATTTAATATACACTAGGGGTGAAAATGAGCCAAGCCAAATTGAGCTTGAGTTCAAAAAATTTAGGAATAAAGATCAAATAGGTCATCCAACTACACAACAAATTGCATTTGGATTCTCGAACTAAAAAAAAATTACAATTAGGTCTCCGAACAATGCAAAATAATGCAATTCAACCTAAAATGCCATGTTGACCTGGTAACACGCGAATATGGCAGATACCAAACTTTTACACATTGTGCAATTGAACCAACGAACAAAAAAAGTGTGCTATTGGACCATTAAAAACTCAAAAATTGTACAAATAACATTTTTTTATAGGTTACTTCCAAGTTCCCGTTAAATATGATGTCATAATGTCAAATTTTATATAAAAATTATTTTAATTATTATTTTAAAAAATTAAAAGAAAAAATAATTTTTTTAAATATCAGAAGAAGGTGGAGACTGCCATAGTGCCATGGCTGCCCCATCCTTCATCCACAACAGACGGATGATAGCCTTTTTTAAAATTTTTTTAAAAACAATAACTAAAATAATTTATATATATAATTTAGCATTAATGACATCATATTTTACCAGAAACTTAAAAGTAACATGTAAAAAAATGTTATTTGCATAATTTTTATTTGTTTAATGATTTATTTACACTTTTTTTTATTTGATAATTCAGTCACAAAAAAAAGTGTAAAAGTTTAATGGCTTATTTGACATTTTTTTAAAATAAAGTTTAGAAAGTAAAGTTGTGATTACTTGGTGCAAGAAAAGCATCACATAATTCCATTTAACACAAATCTTGTACAACATCACTTTCGTACGTTACCATCCAACAAGAATCGGGTGTAGCCTAAACTAGACTTGCATCAAGTACTATGCACCAAACTAGTGCTAATGATTAGGGGGGCATAATTGATTATTAACTAATTAACTAATTAAATTAATTAATGAATTGATTAGTGGAATCATGGAAAAGGCATAAGCGGATGATACCATGGCAGCCATCAAGTGGGCTATTTGGTATTTTGGCATATTCTCATTTCCCATGGCACCAGATACTGGATATTCCGCCTCTGCTCCTACCGTGCTCAACACAATTTGCTCCCGTGGGCCCGCCCGCATTTCTCATCCCAATGACCAAATTACCCCCTCCGCTCCTGTATTGGCGGGAATTATCTAATTATTTAATACCTGTTAATTATG